TAGCCGCAGAGTTTGGCTGGAACTACTTCCGGTGACTTCAGGAAGGAAACTATTAAGAAAATAATGCTACCTCCACACACCGAGCACTGAATTCACAGCAAAATCAGGGCAACCAGGGCTTTTAAAAGAAACAGAAAGTATAAAGTCAGCTTCAGAAGAAAAGAATCTTTGGTGCCCTGGGTCCTAAGACTCCCTGCCGGGAGCACAGTTAACTCCCTTTCAGGTTCCCTTCCCCACCCTGCAGCGCTCTCTCGGGGTCAGCTGAGGGGCACCTGAGCCCCAGTGCTAGGCAGCCTCTCTATGGGCCTGGGCGTACAGAGTGCACTCGGTATCCGAATACTGTAAGTATTCCCTTCAGCTGCACAATCCTAGCCCGCACGGACACACCTTACGATGTCACTGGACTGACTGACACGCACTGCTAGAAGGCGCAGGCGGTGAAAAACTTCAGGCAGCTTCCCCCTACGAGATAGAGCAGGATTTTACCCTGGATTGGCGTGGCTGTGGCATCTGTCTCATTTACCCAGTAACGACTGAGTGCCTAGACAATGAGGAGTCTATCTTTAAGGAATTCATATCATTTTAGGAAAGCTCCTGCGTCTCTCAGGATCTCAACAGATTGAGTTGCTCTTGATTCTTATCTAACCTGCTCACTGCAAATGTCCGGGAGCAAACAGAGCCTCCATCTAACAGATCATCTAACAGATTCATGCTGTAAACCACTGCACAAAACTTATAATATATGCATATAACATACATAAATATATATTGGATCCTGTCTAAAACATCGCAAGTGTAGGCAGAATACATTAAAATGTATTGTATATATTGGGGGACAAGAGAAGCTTCCCTGGGTCCCTAGGGCTAGTACCTAGGGACTCTTCACCCCAGAGTTTCTCCACTGTCCCTGCACCCCAGCTCTTCATGAGGCACAAGAAGGAAAGTGTGTAACATGCACCAATATTAAAACAAAGAATGTATATTTTAAAAGATCAGGTTTCCTTTATTTTACTCGGTGGGCAGCAATTTACTTGGGATCTGCCATTTGCCAAGGTCTTCGTTGCTATATTATGCAGGCTTGCACAAGCATCAGAGGTACAGCAGCAGCTATTTCTGATGATAGGCAGGGTTTTCTCATAATAGACTTTGTATTTGCAATAATTGTTTCTCTCCTCTCTCAGGGTGTTTAAAATTAAGCTCAAAGGGCGGCTGGAGTGATGCAGGAAAAGATCTGTCCTTCACACAGGTGGCAGGACCAGAAGACCCTGTGTGCTGTATGCACAGAGCTCAGTGTGTGGGTTCTGAGTAACTGACAGATGAGAAAATACCATTTTGGAGACATCTTGAGTAAGTACTTAGGAAACAGAAATGCCATAACACCATCAAGGCTTTCTCTTCTGCTTGCCCAAGCATTGTCAGTTGATTTATTTAATAAAACTGGGGACCAACGAAGACTGGAGTACAGCTTCCAATAGAATGCTCTCATGCTGTGATTATTGAAGTGATAAGTAATTTGCTTTTAATGCTAGTGCAGACCACTTAGCACCATATTTAACCGAAGGAAGAAAATCACTCATTTTTCATCCCTTGCTTAACTGACACTTAACATAATCTATCTATTGTCACTGAAGTTAATGCAAGGAACATTTAATAGATTTCGCTTTGAAATTTATAGCAAGCATTTAAATTTTAACTCCTTATTTATATTTTTGTTCGTAACAGAACTGAAATCCAAATGAATAATCTACAATAAAAGCACAGTAGGTAGTAGCAAAAATAGAGCCATTAAATTATTTTTTTATTTACAGTTTCAATTATAATCACATTTAACATTGTGTATTATCTTTATGTGAGAAAAATATCAATGTGCATGACACATCAATTAGTAACCAGCTCTACTGCTAGAGATGAAGTCACTTACTTAGGGAATTGCTGAAAATATGTGAGTTTATAGGAGCTGTTTTACTAACAGAGTCCTGCAAAATAATTATTAGCATTATAAACTGACCTCAATAGACTGAAAAAATAACCTGGTGACTGCCTTCATAGATATATAGTTTTGCGAAAGTCTATCTTGAATTTTAAAAATAGTACTTTGCACTGTGTGTGACTGTGCAGACTACTCCCTAAAAGGGTTTTACACTGGTGCCTGTCACATGAGAATTAGCTTTTACTGAGCATGTGCTTAGAAAGACTGCTTTCACCTTTCTATCCATGGAATTCTTCTCCACAGTTCCTAAAGGGCCACAGAAAATGAGAAGAACTGGTTATAAGAATAAAGACTTCCCTTTTTTTTCCCCTCTATTCTTTTTTTTAAAAAAATTTAATGTAATACAAGTAGATGTTAATAAAGATACTGTTAAAAGCATTCCTTTTACTTCCATGAAAAAAATAAAAACAAAATTTCATAACAAAATAGAGACTAACAAGAGTTAATTACTATGTATTGCAATCTTAAAAAAATGACCAAATGTTACTCAGTATAAGTCATAGACAAAAAAGACTCTTGCAAAGAAGAAAAAATACAACAAATAAAAGGACAAAACTTTTTATTTTCATTGAACAAAAACAAACTCATAGAATAAATTAAACAAATTAGCATTTTTTATAAAACATCTTTGAAAGAAGAGAATAGATTTTTTTTCTTCAAAAACAAAAACCATACAGACACATGAGAAATGGAAGGTCTAAATTAAATGGGTTTTTCAGTGCTAACGCTAACACACCGTTTACTTCAGATATGCCAAAAGTCTAGTGTTGGACTGGGTTACTGCAATGAGCCAAGGAACTTCAGAAAGGTTCTTTTCAACCCGAAGAGAGAACTCATGCAAGCACATTAGCAAATCTCTACCTACCATACACCTATCTAAATAGAGAATAAAACACTTATACAAATCCGGGTGCCAAACCTATTACTTCATCTTCATTATTCAGTGAGATTAGGTTCAGTGACAGAGAAAACAAATATGAAGAGAACACAGCAACAAAATGCTCTAAGATGTATTTTAAAATCCTGAAAAACTCATGCTGTGCAATAATGTTTTAGCAGATGCCTTAGATTAAGGGGCTGAGCATGTCCCCCAACATCTTTCAGAAGGCAGAAATTACTGGTCTTCGTAGTTATACTCATCCTTCTATTGGGGCCACCAATTTCCTAAACGAAAATATTTTTTAAAAAGTCAACTTATTTCTGGTCTCTTTTTTGTTCATCCAACTCACAATCATCACATAGCTGATTCAGGATAAACTTAGGTGAAGTGTGACACACTAGTTTATTTTTTCATCCAACAGAAACGTAATGAGCACTTACTAGTTTAAAGTACAGAAATAGGAATTGGGCGGGTGATAGTAGATAAAGTACAAAATGTTTCCTGCCCTCATAAAGCTTAAATTTTGGTGAGGAAAATAAAAGAATATAGGTCTTCAAATCTGCAAGTATTTATATCAACCCAATTAAGCTCATAACGACTCGGTAAAATCATAGCACGGCTGAGATGCAGAAATCCTCTTGGCTGTATAACTTGACTCCTTTGCAATATATTCTGAGCTGACACAGGTCTATCATAAAGCTTGCTTTAATATATATATGACCCCGTGTTTTCTTTTTCATTTGCATGGCTTTATTTATATTGTACATGAGAGCACAGTAAAACCGTGGTATTAATCTCTCACGTACATCTCCTTCACTCCTTTTCCCAACTGTAAGTGTTTAACAAACCTCTGCAGAGTACCTGGCATAGCCTACTTTGTTTATTCAGACACATCTTTAAGAGTTCTCTGACGGTAACTCATGTTCTAATGGGAAAAATGGAAGTGTGGGAGTAGTGTGCAAAACTGGTGAGTGGAAGTAAACATCTGCGATTGGAGCTAGGAGTAATTATATTTGTAAAAGTGGAGGTGACAGTCAGTCAGTGACGGTGACAGTTGAGTATCTGATGGAGGATTCTAGTTGCTGAGGTGGGGAGGTGCTACAGACTAAGACAGTGTGTTCAGAATGCTTAGTAGTTTCTGTAAAGTGGGATCTATTGATAGCGATATCTCTGTATGATGGTTGGCCTTCATAATAGCCATAGAAGATAAAAATACAGAATACATGGATGTGATCATTTCTGCCAGAAGAAGGAACATGAAATGTAATCCATGATGTGAACTTCTCATGTTAGACTGCTGATAACAAGATAGACGATGATAAAAAAAACAGGACCTGCAAAACCACCGAGATTGATTGTGACTATGTGTTTTCTATCATAGGTTTACATTTTGACCCTTATAACAAGCACGGCCTTTTGTATGAGAGATGTGGTTACAAGAATACTTGCTCGCCCTTCCCTGTAGACGGAGAAGGTCAGTGCATCTAGATATCTTATATTTATTGTTATATAATGAAAGCAAGGATTTGTAATGATGCCAGATTTTTAATGACCCATCGACTCTTTGATGCCCATTTGTAGTAATAAATCTCAATCTAAACTTCCAGCAAATAGAAGAAAGTTAAGGAGTAAAGGAAAAAAACGTGGTTACAGAAGAACTGCAAAGAAGGGAATATTCATTTGACCCCTTCAGAAGAGTGAATGTGAAGTGAATCCAAGCCACTCGGTTTGGTCTTGTATGTTATTATCTCAGAATACAAACGACATCCTCTGCAAACCAATGTAAGTGACTTGACTATTTGTTGATATTAATTTTTTTCATTGTTTGCTTCAAATTTGTTTTAAGGAAAAAAAAAGTGAAAATGTCCAGCTGCATGAAAGGGAGATAGAATTAATTTGAGCTTTTACTCTCTAATCACACCCATAATTCCCTCTACACAACAGAAGACAACTGGGAAAGAATGTTAAAAACAGCACCCTGCTTCTCTCCAAATTCCAGAGTGACAAAGCAGCTCCCCTGAGCCAAGAAGCAAGAAAGTGTGTTCTGCCCTCTCTGAAAACGTAACTGGTCGTAACTTCTAGTAACACCCATGACTGACATTTGGACAACTCCTTCCTTGTGAGGCGGGAGGGTTGGTGAGGAAGTTGAACCTAGTCTTTGCACTGTGACTGGTCGCCGTGGTACAGCCTCAGGAAAACAAGAAGGAGGTGGCCGTTGGTGGCTCCTTCTTCATGGATGCACTCATCTACAGCAGAATTGAATGCTTAACCAGCAGGAAAAATATCTTTTTACTTTAAAAGATCCTTTTCATGTCTTGGGCTTGTAGTGCAGGAGTCCCTGAGTCCTGTGTCCATTTCACTTATGTGCTCTTGGATAGCTGCAGCCACCTCGCTGGGGACAAACTGTAAGGCACTGATGTCACCAAACACCTGCAAAGTCATGACAAAATGAGCACATACTAATTTACCATGTTTCAAAGAAATATTTAGGTGGAGTGACCAAAAACTGGATTTTTTTCCTCACTTGGGAAAAAAATTATAGCTTGGAAATTTCCCCCAAATGCCTTATTATCGTCCAAATTCTGCAGTTTCACAGAAGAGTATAATTTAGGCTTGATGGTTCACTTTCATTTATGACCCATAGAATAATTTTATAATGACCAAATAATAAAGTAATGTGTGTATATATTCCGTAGTTCAGAACACAAGGTCATAATATGCAAATTAAAATACTCTGAAGAGTGAATTTTTCTAATTCCATTGAAATTAAAAAATGCCAAAATCAAAGACAAGCCTGGAATTACCTTGTTTGGCCTTTAATAACTTCTGTTTGATGGGGTACATAGAAAATAAAATCTTTGGGACACATGTGGTGTCACATTCCTTTTGGTACAGACTCATTGTCCCCAGAGAAGTTTCTGTACATAAAAGACACACCATTTGTAAGAGCTAAAACTTGGAAACAGCCCAACTGCCCATCAACTGGAGACTGAATAAAGAAGATGTGTTTTTTGTTTTGTTTTGTTATATAAAATGGAGTACTATTTAGCCATAAAGAATGAGAAACTAGAGAGATTTATATAGCTAAGTGGATGCACATTGAGGCATACTCTTAAGTGAAAATAAGATACACGTGTAAATATGGAATAGTTTCTCTGGTGTGAAAAAAATAAAAGTGTAAATAAGGATTAAAATGTATAATTGATATTGTGTAATGGGACAAAAAGTCTAAAAAAGTAGAGAAAGTAGGAGCAGTAGGGGAAAGGGAAAAAGGGAAAAACTGTAAAAAGGAAAAACATGGAAACAAGGTCTTTGTAAACAGGGAAGGGTGGATGGGCTGAGGGGAGGGCTGGGAAATGGGGAAAAATAAGAACCTGATGAGTCATGTGTAGGTACAAGATCACAGTGATGAATGTAACTGTGTTGTGTACCTAATATGTACCAATAAACTTAATAAACATAAAAGAAAAGACTGATTACCCTGAAGCACAACTTGTAGTCACTCCAACAGCCTGTTCCACTTGTCACACACAGTTTGGGTTTAGTCCGGGACTGTTTGCAATAACCACCAATTCCACTGACTTCATGTGTCTCTCCGACATCTTGAAGGTATCTAACATTTCCAAGCGTTCTGCAGAAGGCTTGTATGCCTCCCAGAAATTATGACCTCTCGAACTGAGAGCCATCCAGATGAAAAAGACAGGGGAGCCCATCTCCACATAAATTAGCAAACTGAATGCATTTGTCTAGATAACAAAAGGGACATCTGCTTATGGGACAAGCTCTTCTTTGGTTAGAGAAGCCATTTTCTCTTTCTAGAAGAAATCCTCCAGCTCCTAATGAACCTGTAAATCAGGGAGCTAGCCAATCACAGAGCCTGTCTCCAGTGTGGGCAAATGGAGAAAAAGATATGGACTGAAAACTAGGAAAACAAAAATCTCTCTCCAAGTTAGTGAGGAACAGGAATAATAAAGTCTGGAGTGATGCTAATGTGGAGGAAACTCTCCCAAGAATGAAACAGAGGGAAGAGATTTGATCACACCCTTGGACACCCTGAGTTCGGCCATCCCATCAGAAAGGAAGGGTAATTCCCATTTATTTGGGCTAATGAATATCATTCATGATTAAGAAGAACAGGTTAGGAGTTTGGTGTACACAACTACACCGTATCCAGAATATAAATATTCACAGATTCCACAATTTTCCTGCCAGGCCTTCTCACAGAGTTCACTTCACCCCCAGGTTCTTGAAGTGTCGGCCCTTGCCTTCACTTTTTCCCCGTCATCCTCCCAACTCTTACACTTACTATCTATTCTACCCTTCCTATACCCTCATGCATGATCTTTTGAAAAATCTAGATTTTCTGGGACACACTCTAGGCACGGTGACACTTACTGAGGTGTCTTCCCTGCTTTCTTATCCAGGCCATCTAAAAGCGCAAGCCAGAAATAGAACTCTATGCTTCTAGATTCTCATATTCTTTGACTCCGTAATTCCACCACCAGGATCTACCTTTAAGAAATAATAAGGCACCAAGTAATGTGACAGAGTACAGAACTATAAATTCCACCCCCACCAAAAGAGCAGCAACAACAAATGGGCAAGAATTATCAGAATGAGATTTTTTTTCAGAGGAAAACTAGTGTGGTTGAGGTTAAAGCCACTGAGGATTTGACTCAGGATTCTAGCCCTGCAGTTTTAAGAGTTTATGATTGTGAACAAATAAAATGCAAGCACAATGCCAGTGTGTGACTGTCAGGCAATGTGACAAGAAAATTCTATCTGCAGACACAGACAAGGATCTTCCAGGCCGTGCAAAGCAAGCACCTGGTGGGAACCATGGCTGTCGAGCTCACAGTGCGTGCAGCTCGTTCAGAGTTGTGCTTGAAGCAGGGCTGGCCCTCGATGATATAAAGAAGTATCTGGATTTCTTAGAACTTTTCTGGCTAAAGCAGGTCTCAGAAAACAGTAGTTCATTGCTCGCTAATATGAGTAAGAATATCCTCACATTTCTAACTGGAAAAATGAGAATGAGATTATTTACAATAAGGCTGGTGTGACGGATCACATCCAACTGTCAAACATATAAAATATTGATAAAGCATCAGGGAGAAATCATTATAAAGGGTCCGGGGAATGAAGAAGGGGAAGATCAAAAGGGAAGTATATTTTTATTTCCTTTGCCCACTCAATATCGGACTTACACACTCAGGGCACTAATTCACACACAGCACAAGGCAGCAGTATTTGGAGACCTGCAGTAAAACCTACTGTGGCTCTGATATGAAGTTCAAGTTCTTCTCCACGAAATTTAGATGCTGATTTGAAGCAAACAGTCTGAACTAGGGGTGAAGAGTCTATTATAATTAGTTTAAAATTGTAGATTTCAAGCCTAGACCTAGAAATAAGATGACGCTCTAAATTACAGGCCACATCAACGTTTTAGAGATAGAATGTTTGCGTTTTGAATAAACTAGAGCACTTGTGTTCATTTTCCTCAAGTAGCTGAAGAACAAAGGGCTGGGATTTAGGTTTATTCTTTAAGAATTAGTGATGCTTGGTGTAAATACTAGTAACTGAGGCGATCGTCACAGCTGTGAAAATTAGAAGCCAAAGCACACAGTCCTTTCATTTTTGCGAAAGCATACTTTGCTGGGTTGTAAAATATTCAACATTCAAGATTAAATACCTGAATATTGCTTCTGAAGGAGTAGCTGTCACCTTAAATCTAAAGTCTAGTTTGTTTACCGGCTGTATTTTATATCCTTTAGAAAATGACACAAAATGGCAATAAAATCATTGTAAGTATTCTACAGGGGAATATAAGTGCCCCTTGGTTCCAGTGTACATATCTTTATACATAATTCCAGTTTATTTTCCCTGGAATTATGTTAAATATGTAAAAAGCCTCTTCTCATAAAGGTAAAAATGTTAGATGCTCCAAAGTTGTAATTTAGCATTAGTGTCAAAATTGCTTCAGAAATAAGCTACTGTTACTATTTCACTCTCTTTAGGTGTCATTCAGCACATTCTATGTGATTTTGCACATAACATAAATTTACATGATTTTATATCTATGTTTCCAAAATGTGAGCTTAAAAATAATTCATAGGATACACGTGCAAAATTAACTGCCACTAAGCAACTATAGATTGTTCTTCTGGTTTTGGTTTTGTTTTACACGTATGTTTGTCGTACCGGATGACCGCACTCCTCCCAGGAGCTGGTAATATGCGTACTGCACCTGTCACTTACATCCCCTTCCCGTCTCTGCTTTCCCATCTTCCCCACCTCCAGTTCCCCTTCCAGGCCCCTGTCCCCTACCACCTCTTTTCTTTTGCTCTAAAATTATTTATATTTTGGGTTTCTCATATTATTAAATAACTGTTTCAAATAATTATGGGAAATTTGTGCCATAAGCTGAAATGGAGAAACTAATAGTGAAGAAATCAATATATTTGTAGATAGTTATTTATTATTGACACATTTGCAAAATACACTGAAATACTTTCACGGTATTTCTGTGATGACTATAAGAAAATATGAGTAATTCAAGGTTATTTGTCTTATTTTCCTTTTAGTACCTATGAGTGAATCATCTTTGGTATTTTCAGTAACCAGTATCAGGAAGCCTTGTCAAACAAAGTTAAAAGTCACATATTCTGAAAATGCTTATTTGAAACATCTACCTTTGAATGTATGGATTTCAAATTTATTGATGATGCAAAAACTCAAAAATTTTCAAACATTGTAATACATTTCTATTAATAGATGAAAAGAAACATGAAAGCTTTCTGTGTTTAAGTCCCCTGTAAAATATCTTTTTGTAAAATCTAATTCAATAAGAGAAAAAGAATTAAAAGAAAATATTTTTATTCAAATTAAAACATTGAACTTATGCCAACTGTGCAATAGACTTAATTATTCACTTTTATATGACTATATTAAACATTTTATTTAACCATACATTGCAGTTCATATTCCAAAACCCATTTTTGCACTGTTTCTTTGCCCTTAATATACTTTCTAAGATGTTTAAAACATTTCCTATGATTTAGAATCAAGGAAAATTTTCTTATCTAGTCTACTCTACACTTATCTATCATTTGTGGTAGACATGATACAATAATGGGATAATTCTTAGAAGTTCTGATTATTTGGAGATTCAAAGGAAATTTAAAACGGCAAATTTTTGATGTGCAAAAGCATTTTAAAAAATAAAAGGATCTGGTCATTTTATATGAATAAATTAAAATGTACAATCCATATAAATTAAAGCAGGAATAGCTAATGATTGATTTATCAAACTATGACTACAAATGAATTATAAAGTTAGCATTTTATAAGTTTGGCAAAATTAGTTATTCTAGCAAAGACCTATAGAATTTTTAAAAACCATTTTAGCAATCACATTTCAATAATAATGAATA